CATAGCCTGGGACGCAGATGGCACACACTGCATGCTCAGCGGGTGTTTGCTGAATAAGCCCGTAGGCCCGAGACCCTCATGTGAGACGGGGGTCCACAGCAGGAACACTGGCGCATCCACCCCTGAACAAAGTGCCAGGAGGGTTTGCTCCTGGCGCTGGGCAAGGACCTGAGAAGCGGCCGTGACTCGCAGAAGCCTGCGGACACACCCAGGGGCGGTGCCCACTTGCAGGAGGAAAAGACGCACCAAACTCCAGCAGAAAACACAGAACCAGCGTCTCCACGGGCACATCCGAGGTGTCCCAGAGCAGGAGGAGCTGCTGGCGGGAACCTCGAGGCTAAGTCAGCTCTGGATGAGCAGGTGGATGGCAGGGCGGATCTCAGCATCCACCTGCACATTCTCAGAGAGTGTGCCACCAGGACCACAGCGGGCAAAGAAAGGGACCCTTGATAAGGCAGTCTGAGAAGGCTTAAGCAATGTATCCCCCTCTTAGAAACAGCCTGTGTAACCATATGAAGGGCCCTGAGAAGGCCGGCAGTAAAGTACCCCAACAGTCCCCAAGTTCCAGCCACCAAAGACACCCGTGCCCCGCGCCATCACTCCTCATCCTTCAGTATCTCTCCTTAGGCCCCCAGTGATGAGCTCCAAATCGTCAAGGAATGAGCTTCCAGTGCGTGACCGCAGGGTGGCCTGCTCCACAACCTCCCTTCTGCTACTATGACACCCCTACTTTAATTCCTCGGTTGGTCTTTTTTTTTTTTTTTTTTTTTTTTGAGACGAAGTCTCACTCTGTGGCCCAGGCTGGAGTGCAGTGGCGCAATCTCAGCTTACTGCAACCTCCGCCTCCCAGGTTCACGCCATTCTCCTGCCTCAGCCTCCCGAGTAGCTGGGATTATAGGCGCCCGCCGCCACGCTCGGCTAATTTTTATATTTTTGGTAGAGACGGGGTTACACCATGTTGGCCAGGCTCCTCTCGAACCCCTGACCTCAGGTGATCTGCCCACTTCAGCCTCCCAAAGTGCTGGGATTACAGGTGTGAGCCAGCGCACGTGGCTGAATATTTTTTTAAATGGAAAAGAAGCGTTGGTGAGGAGGTAAAGTCAGAACCCTCACACACTGCCAGTGGGGATACAGAACAGCACAGCCACTATTGACAACAGTATAGTCCGGGCGCAGTGGCTCACGCCTGTAATCCCAGCACTTTGGGAGGCTGAGGTGGGCGGATCACGAGGTCAGGAGATCAAGACCATCCCGGCCAACATGGTGAAACCCCGTCTCTACTAAAAAAAATACAAAAAATTAGCCGGGCGAGGTGGCGGGAGCCTGTAGTCCCAGTTACTCGGGAGGCTGAGGCAGGAGAATGGCGTGAACCCAGGAGGCGGAGCTTGCAGTGAGCGGAGATCGTGCCATTGCACTCCAGCCTGGGCGACAGAGCGAGACTCTGTCTCGGGAAAAAAAAAAAAATGGTTCCTCAGTCAAACCTAACATTACCGTAGGACTCAGCAATCCTACCCCTACGCATATACCCAAATAATTCACAACAGGTGTTCAAACAAAAACTTGCATTCAAATGTTCACAGCAGCATTATTCATAGTAGACAAAAGGTGGAAACCACTGCCTACCGCCCAAAAAATGGACAAACAAAATGTGCTCTGGCCATACAATGGGATGTCATCCAGACACAACAAGGAAGGAACTTTTTTGTTTTTTTGAGAAAGGGTCTTGCTCTGCTGCCCAGGCTGGAGTGCGGTGTTGCGATCACAGCTCACTGCAGCCTGGACCTCCTGTCTTAAGCAATCCTCCCAACTCAGCCTCCCAGGTAGCCGGGACCACAAGTGCCCACCACCACGTTCAGCTAACTTTAAAAATTTTTTTGTAGATGGGGTCTTGCTATGCTGGCCAGGCTGGTCTCAAACTCCAGGCCTCAAGTGATCCTCCTGCCTTGGCCTCCCAGAGTGTTAGGATTACAGGCCTAACCCACTGCACCCAGTCAGGAATGAGGTTCTGATAATGTGCAACAATGTGGAGATGAATCTTGAAAACACGATGCTACGGAAAGAAGCCACACACAGGGGCCACATATCGCAGGATTCTAGTCACACAAAATGTCCAGAAGAAGCGAATCCCCAGAGACAGACAGTAGATTAGTGGCTGACAGAGGCTAAGAGTGAGGGGAGAATGGGTGTGAGTGCTGACCGACATGGGATTTCCTTCAGGGCAGACGAAAGTGTTCTAGAAGTAGACAGAAGCAGAGATTGTCCTCATACTAAATGCCCCTGAATTGTTCACTTTTTAAAACGTTGTTATTTATTTTTTCAAGAAAGAGTCTTGCTCTGTCGCCCACACTGGAGTGCAGTGGCATGATCTCGGATCACTGCAACCTCTGCCTCCCGGGTTCAAGCGATTCCCCTGCCTCAGCCTCCCAAGTAACTGGGACTACAGGCACCTGCCACCACACCCGGCTAATTTTTGTAGTTTTAGTAGAGATGGGGTTTCACCATGTTGGCCAGGCTGGTCTCGAACTCCTGACCTCAGGTGATCTGCCCACCTCAGCCTCCCAAAGTACTGGGATTACAAGTGTGAGCCACTGCGCCCAGCCTGAACTGTTCACTTTAAAATGGTTTAAATCATCAATTTTGTGCTACGTTTATTTTACCACAATAAAGAAAATCATTGAGCTGGGAGTGACAGCTCATGCCTGTCATTCAGCACTTTGGGAGGCTGAGGCAGGTAGATCGTTTGTGCCTCAGGAGTTTGAGATCAGCTTGGGCACCATGGCGAAACCCCATCTCTACAAAAAAAAAAAATACACAAAAACTATCTGGGTGTGGTGGTGTGTGTCTGTAGTCCCAGCTACTCAGAGGCTGAGGCAGGAGGATCACCTGAGCCCAGGGAGATGGAGGCTGCAGTGAGCCGTGATCACGCCACTGCACTCCAGCCTGGGCGAGTGAGCGAGACCCTGTCTCAAGAAAACCACTGCTCTGACCGTACACGGAACAGCGCCGGTCACAGGTCCGGTGTGCCACACACAGTACACGGAACAACACCAGTCACGGGCCCAGTGTGCCACAGTACACGGAACAGCGCCGGTCACAGGCCCAGTGTGCCACAGACAGTACACGGAACAGCG